ATGTTGCCAACATGTCAGCCAAGCGTGCCGCAGGTCACAGAAGCAGACCAAGGGTAGCAACAACCGTGGAATGGGTGATAACAATGGCAGACCTGACGTATCGTATTTTATACGTAATCACAGCCGAGCCTGCTAAAGCAGTAGCGCCAGGGTTAGCGCAGAGGCGCATAGTTGCTCCCTACGATTTTACGAAAACAAGGTCACATCTCAATCTCATGCCATAGCGCATAGATCTGCATGTCAGTAATGCGATTAGTATCAAAAATAATCAAGCTAAAACCGTATTCAGGATGGGCTTTGCTGCAGCAACAGTTAGAACAAATGAAGCTGAAGATACAACAAGGTTTTGCACAAAACAAGCATAGTCGTCAGTCGGGCTGAGGGCGGCTACGAGCCGTTGAGAACACGTTCACTGTGTTCGCCGGGGCGACGATCAGCCCCGATCTATCCACGAGGATTCAGCAAGGGAAGCAAAATCCGATGTAGAGAATTAAACAATTAGCTGTTTAGTTTTATGCCTTCTAAGACATCTTTAGGAAGATCCTGACCATGAACCGCTCAATGACGTTCGAGAAAATTGTCTCTAAACATAAAATTCGGATCGATTTTGGATATATATATATATTTATAAATAAGCAAGCAAGTTGCAAGCTGGTAACTGGTTCCATTCGCTTTTGCGACATTTAGAGCGGTTAGTATCTCGCTCGTAAATTACCATTATCAATATCAGAATGATTTATTTGAGCGAATAGAAGAAGGCTACAGCTAAGAAATGCATACTATGGGCTAATGTTCCACGTAAATGTGGATCAAGGACTCATATGCTGTCTCAGAGTTATTAGAGTGTGTAGCGTGTCCAGGAATTATGAAGCAACTGATTATCTTAACTCTCTTAAGCCACGAGCTATGGCCACTTAGTCATAACATTACATTATCAGTCTGAATCAGCAAAAAACGAAAAAGTGTAATTTTTCTTCGTTCAGCTGGAAGCAGCATATTGTATTATAAACTACTGTGAAAATGTTTGTTCGATTAGCATTGAGATGGGAGAAATGGTACTCTCAATAGAGGTCATGGAGGTCATTCCATTGAATGCGCAAATCGCGATTAAAGGGATCGCGAGGCACACGACATCAACATTCACAACTTGAGAGCGCCAAATTTCGGAAGCCACTTTGATTGCGAAGTTCAGATGAGCAAGAAGTTGAATGATGTGGATAAGAAGAGGCGCGGATTATCTGCTATGTTTCAAGTCACAGGCTGGATAGACAATCAAAGTTTGAAAAGGGTCAAGGAGTGGAAAGCGTGCAACCGAAATCACGAAAAAGGTGAAAGGATGCGGAAGAATTGTATACAATCGTCCGGGCAGCAGAACGAGTGATAAGATGCGCCGCTACGGCCTAGTTCTGAAGAGATTCACGCCATTTGTAGGTCATATCCGACGTCACTGTTTGAAAATCTACGGTAAAGCATGAAAGTGATACGCATCACATCTATACGTGGTCAGTGATGGCTAACGCATTTTATGGCGCTAGCACGGACGCTGTGGCTGAAGCAGCAAATCGGAACCGTTCTTTTTCTAGCGGCGGTGGCACGAACGTTGCATATAGCGATGGGACAGACGATGGGATTGGATTTGCTGCGAAGGAACTATCGCTGGGTGCGTCCGTGTACAGATGGAGTTGATATAGATGCTGGTGATATCGCCGCGATCGCGGGCGAATCCGCATCACTATGCGCAGAGAAAGTGGCAAATATCTGTTTGAGTCGCAGAAATTAGGAACCACCGTGCTCGGAGGCAGTCGGTGGTTGCGAAGAGGCATGGGAGGAGGGGTTGTCGAGACGGGTTGGATGCGATTAGCACATCACCAGCGCTCGTATAAGGCTAATAACCGACAAAAGAGCTGAGTTATGAAAAACCTTTGGAGCAGCTGGTACACAAAAGACGAGTTTCTCGAGGATATTTGAGGCTTCACAACTTCCTCTATGTGCTCACTTGGCTTTGCGGCTTCTTCGTGCTCCCTCCAGCAAATATAAACTACTCTAAAATTTAACATGTTAGTATCTCCGGAAATAATCCCGGTGGAATAGGTAAGTCCGCCCCACAGACGAGTTCTTCTGTAGATAAGACCCTTGAAAACGTGCGTGCTTCTGTGTGGAAATAAAATGAACTTATCTATTAGGACAATCGGAGAAAGCGACTTATATGCTATTTAGATTATAATCCTTTCCATACTTGAAAGAACTTCAACTAATTACTTGTGGTGATTTTCGA